AATCAATCAATCAATCAATCAATCAATCAATGTATATACATATGGAAAGTGCAGGAAGAACGATCCAGGCTCTGGGCAGCTTGCTCAGTGCACAGGAGCCTGCACGGAGGCCTGCTGGCCCCTCCCAGCCTCCGTGGCCACAGTATCCGCTCGGGGCGTAGCTGCAAACCTTACATGACCTTAACCTGATGGATGCACTTCATTGCACAGTCACTGACTCAGGCAGCATCCAATGGGTGTCAGACCCCTGTACCATGGAGATCAAGTTCCTCCAGCAAAATTCAGCACCCTCATCTAACCCGTCCTGTCCGAAGTATAACACAGCAGAGGTGACTCGAACCGCTTACCAACAAGTAAGTACACCTCTCTTTTTTAAAAATATACTTGTATCGATTTCAGAGAGGAAGGGAGAGGGAATCCTGTCCCGAAGTATAACACAGCAGAGGTGACTCGAGCCGCTTACCAACAAGTAAGTACACCTCTCTTTTTAAAAAATATACTTGTATTGCCCTAGCCGGCTTGGCTCAGTGGATAGAGCGTCGGCCTGCGGACTGAAGGGTCCCAGGTTCGATTCTGGCCAAGGGCACATGCCTGGGTTGCGGGCTTGATCCCCAGTAGGGGCCTGCAAGGAGGCAGCCAATCAATGATTCTCTGTCATCATTGATGTTTCTATCTCTCTCTCCTTCTCCCTTCCTCTCTGAAATCAATAAAGAAATATATTTTAAAAATACAAATATATACTTGTATCGATTTCAGAGAGGAAGGGAGAGGGAGAGACATAGAAACATCCATGGTGAGAGAGACTCATTGATCGGCTGCCTCCCGCACGCCCTACACTGGGGATGGAGCCCGCAACCCGGGCCTGTGCCCTGACCGGGAATCGAACCGGGACCTCCTGGTTCCTAGATCGATGCTCACCATCATGGCCGGGCTGTCATGTGTAGAATTATTCATTCCATCCTCCCTTAGGTCAGAGGCAGTCACTTCTAACGCGGGCATCCCTGATCCACAGAATAAATGGCTAATTCGTAAGAAAAGCGATTGAAAGCACTTGCAACATTCAACTTGCACCCATTTCCAGTCCAGCATTATCAATCAAGCCAGAGGGATCGAATGTGACGGGCAAAGCATCCTTTTGGAAAAAAAACCAACAAGGCGAGGCAGAGAGATAAATTTAAAGCCATCCGTCCCTGATGATCGGGCCCAGGGAAGGCATCCTTTTAAAGGCCTTCACTTGCCTGAAGAGATTAAGACTGCGGGACTTTCTAAAAGGTTTCCATTTCTGTGTTTACTGGAAGTTGAAAGCGCTTGCAAAATTCAGCCTGCACCCATTCCCAGCCCAGCATTATCCATCAAGCATCCTTTTGGAAAAAAAAAAAAGGCGAGGCAGAGAGATAAATTTAAAGCGATCCGTCCCTGACGATCGGGCCCAGCGAAGGCATCCTTTTAAAGGCCTCCACTCGCCTTAAGAGATTAAGACCGCAGGACTTTCTAAAAGGTTTCCATTTCTGTGTTTACTGGAAATAATCCCCCCCTTTTACTTGGAGTGGGACGGCTCAGGTCTGGAGAGAGATAAATCCCCGACCATCCCCTGATGGCGCGTTTCTGGGGGTGAGTGAGCGCTGGGGGTGACGGCCCTGCCGTGCGACCCAACAGCCATCCATCACCCGCCTAAACGCCTCTATTATCGCCGACCGGGCCGCCAAGCCCGCCAGGGACAGCCGGACACGGCTCAGCCGCATGCTTCACGAGGATGGGTCTGGGGACGCGCACCCCCACGTAGTATGAGCGCCCACACAAACACAGGCACCCCCGGGGGTAGCTGGGACGTGGGCCTCATGGCGGGAATGCTGAAGGGCAAGAGTTCTCCCAACTCCCTTTTTCTATTTTTGCCTCAACAACAGCTTCTTTTCCCCTCCAAGTGGAGTTGGTTCCCGGCCACACCTCCCCCTCCTAATCACTCCCTCGCATTTCACAGTGAGAAAAAGAAAAAAAAAAGAAGATAAGAACAGGTTTGGCTACCGTGGCACAGAAATAAATTGTGAACGAGGAAACAGCCTGTGTTGGAAAGCGATGGTTTTATAAGGGCCTTAACCTTGGGTAACAGGAAACACACATCCCTAGGCCCGCGGTCGGCAAACTGCGGCTCGCGAGCCACATGCGGCTCTTTGGCCCCTTGAGTGTGGCTCTTCCTAAGCCATAGGAGGACCCTAATTAAGTTAATAACAATGTACCTACCTATATAGTTTAAGTTTAAAAAATTTGGCTCTCAAAAGAAATTTCAGTCGTTGTACTGTTGATATTTGGCTCTGTGGACTAATGAGTTTGCCGACCACGGCCCTAGGTCATTGGAAGAGGGTTGCAGGTGCATGTGGGAGGCAACCAATTGATGTGTCTCTCTCACCTCAATGTCTCTCTCTCTCTCTCTCTTTCCCTTTCTCCCTCCCACTCTCTCTAAAAATCAACAGAAAAAAATATCTTCGGGTGAGAATTAAAACTAGTAATAATAAACGCTCAAAAAGATTGTGAGTGCTCTAAGATGATGGCGTTTACGTAAATCTTCCTATTTGGCTTTTTGGTCCAGAGCATCAGCCCGAGCACTGAAGGGTCGCACGCTGGTTTGATCCCCGGTCAAGGGCACGTACCCGGGTTGCAGGTGCATGTGGGAGGCAACCAATCGACGTGTCTCTCTCACCTCAATGTCTCTCTCTCTCTCTCTCCCTTTCTCCCTCCCTCTCTCTCTAAAAATCAACACGAAAAAATATCTTCGAGTGAAAATTAAAACTAGTAATAATAAACGCTCAAAAAGATTGTTCAGGGCAGAGGGGGTCAGTGGAGCAGCTCTTTGCCGGCTGGGGAACAGGAAGTCGGGGTGCTCTTTTGTGTGCTGGCCTAAAGCACAGAAGCCAACTCCCAGAAGCGACACGCTAGACACAACCGCACACCCAAACGCGTTTTCAGTCCGGAGGGAAAAATGACCGTGTTGCAAAAAATGATCTATTAGCAGCCCCTCTTGGACACGAAGATAACTAAGCGAATAAAATCCACGCCTCGGGAGCTAGAGAAAAAGACATTTTAAGTGAACCAGAGATCATTCCACAATTTAAAAAAATATTCTAAAAAAACTAAACTACTTTTAAAATATATTCATTTCGTAGGGGTCTCTACATTTCCCTTTCTTCGGGGCTAAAAAAGAACCAGGTAGTCTGATTTAAATATTTCACCTTATAAATGCTCCATAAACCTTGACAGGTTAGTGAAAACTACGCTAAAGCGTTATAATAAATTAAGTCATCAGCTACTTATGGGCACCTGCTAATGGTGAGAGGTTCAGCCAGTCGCTGGATATATACACACGGCCTGTTGTAAAAAGTGGGAACACGCCGGGCCAGTCTCGAGCTTAAATCCAGAGAACGGAGTACGTGAAGGAGTAGAAATAGATTGTTATTTTTATTTCCTCGCCAAGATTCAGTGGTCACGTGACAGTTAACCTATCACATGCTAAATTAGCCTGCCAGGGCATAATGACCAGCAAAGCATGTGAAGAGTATAAGAAACCCATTCAATGCTACTTATTATTAGACCTAATAATTTAAAAGCAGCATCGATGGGACAATAGCGCCCCCCAGGAATATCAACAGACAGACATGAAATAATTTTCTCCAGCACGAAGTCTGTTGAACTTCATGACCATCGGCCCGAAGGATCCATGAATTCAATCATTCAATAAACACGTAATGGCATGTCTGCTACACACCGGGCACTTTTCTAAGCGCCTGAAATACTGAAAATGAATAAAACAGACCCAAATCTCAGTCTTGGTG